AGCTCCATCTACAAAAGCTTGTACTGATGAACCAATTCTATTGTATCTAATAAGCTGAGAATAGTAAACATTGTAACAACTTTTTGAAGTTTTTGTATTTGGGAATAGAATGCTTATAACTTCAGATTTGAAAGTATCGGTTTTATTGAAATATTTAAACTGTGTTTTGTTTTTTGAGGAAGAGATTTCTTGAGAGTGAGCTTTGGTGGATAAATTTACGGCTGTGTCTATAAAAAACTTTGTAATTCGGTATTGTTCTATCTTCAAATAGGTTTTAAACCAGTTTAAATCTGACATAATCTAAAATATGTCAATGTTTTATTACGGTTTAAAATTAAAACTTAGGCCTAGTATGTGAGCTCTAAAGTAGTGGTTCTAAAACTTTTTTTTTATTTAATTTGCGGATCACATCAGAGGCGTCGCCAGGAGCTTGCACACGGGGCCCGTGCTCCCAATCTCCATTTGGTGTCTTGAAAGGTCAAAATAGAAAACCATGATCGATACCATACCGAAACGCCTAAAATGGGTCCGAGCTCCGAATCTTTTAAGTACCTAGTGACCCCTCTGGGCCACATTATTTATTTATTTTTGCAGTGTCTTGGATAATGGATTCGATACAGTATGCTCCCACTTCCTTTTCATAATTATGCTGTCTTTCCACAGACCACCGGAGAGCCGCTGTTTTAGAGGCTACACAGTGCTTTGTTAAACTAGAAGAGAATCTTTATTAACAGTCAAGTCAGAGGCGTCTCTAGGTGCTTAAAATACACCAACTGGGGATTCGGGGCACGAGCCCCATGTGCCAGTGCCTAGCGACGCTTCCGAGTCAAGTGCACGCTTATTGAGAAATAGAATAACACATAAAGTACATTGGACGATACAACTTTAGAAACAACTTAACTTTCGAAGCACTCTTGATATATATTTAAAGTTTATCTTTAAACTTCATTGCTTGACAAAATGCTGGATTCTTAGACCTCGTCTTATTAGATCAGCAGTATTTTGTAAGTAACATGGGATACCACATACGCTATATACATGACGCCACTCAATAAAACCTTCACAATTCAAGTTCATTATTCAGTTATCTCCCGAAGAAGAAATGTTTATTTGATGAAAGGGCCAGGTTATTATTGGGTTTCTATTATTGTTATTTAGCTTATCAGTATTGACCTCATTCTTAATATTTAGAAACATATGGTTCAAGATCTTGGAACTGTTACTGAGTTTCATAACGGGGATTAATATAGTGAACCATATCAATGACTATATCAAAATAATGCTTATATTGACTTTTAAGTTATAAAAGAGAAATCACTTATTCGTTTCGGAATATATCAAAATTGTACTATATGACATTTTATTTCTCAGAAGCGAAACATTTTGCATTAATTCAGGTTAGAATAATTCACATTATTTCGTATATGTGAGCACGCCTTCCGAAATTAGTTCAATATTAAGGTTTCACCAGTTTGTAGCAAAACGTAGGTCCAATGATCCTAAAGAATCTTGATCAGCCTTAACTGTTTTTATAGTTAATTTAATATGTGATTTCACGTAGGCCTTCATGTGTAAACTAACCCTAAATATTTGGCACGATATTATTATGAATATTTTTTATAAGGGAATATAAAAGTAAGAAAGTTTAGTCAGCTATAAACGGTTATGAACTATGTTAATGTGCAGCTTATCATTTTCTTTGTTATTCTAATAGGATTGCGTGCAATTTTAAATATCTTAATGAGCAATTTAGAAATGGTAATTTTTTGTCTTAAAAGGTGTAAAACAACCTAATATATTATGAAAATGCACATATTCTGTACAAATTAAAAACTTTTTCTAGGGGGGAAAGGAGCATGCCCTCGGACTTCCCTCCCAGACTGTATTCGCCAGTCATTTTCTTTTTATCTTTATAGATTCCTACCTACCCCCCTTTACTGGGTACTAGTTTGTCTCCTGAGTAAAGCAATGTTCGGGAGACGTGTTGCACAGCCCAGCTTTACTTTGTATCGCATTTTGTTACTGTATAATACAAGTCTCAAAATCAAAATTAGCCGATTAAGCAGTTCGAAAAACACAAGATCTGGGTTATAGACTGCCAGAAATCTGACATTTGACACTCATGTTAATTTGCAGTGAAATAAATTTAAACATTTTCTACTTCAGCGCTGTCCGTTACTGCAAAACGTGAAATTAAACTTTTCAACATTTCAGTACAATTACGGTTAGATGAAGTCTGACTAAACCAAACTTAATAGAATCTTAACAAAGATCTATCTGTGCTCTGCCCAACACCGGTATCGAAACCCGGTTTTTAGCTTTGTAAGTCTGCAGACATATCGCTGTGCCACTGGGGGGCTAGAACGTATTAAATTCCATAAGTGATTTTAGATAAGAGGCTTTGTAATTTTTGAAGCTTAAAAATAGCATACTTCCAATTTTGTATCATACTGTTTGGGTCAATGAGCTAAGAGCCCTTGAGGCGGCGAGTGCTGCTGGCTGTCTACCTCCTCTATATCTGAACCTGGCTATTTTGTAAACGTGCGTACAAGGTACTGTTTAGGTTCAAACATTGAATTCCAGTTTATAAAAATTGTACATGCATATTAGCGAAAATCATTATCAGTTTTGTTTTTGCGATTTTACGAAATCACAAACGTATACATATCTCTTCATTAGCGTCGCCAGGATTTTTTTCAGGGAGTCGTTCCTGAAATCATTAACACGTTTTTTTAGTTGTGTTTCCAATGTTTTAATTTAAATGTTGGCTAGAGGTCGCGTGAAGTTAAAATATAATAAATTCCATTGAGATTTAAATGGGCACATTATAAATACTAGTAGCCAGTTAGTTAGTGTCTGAGTACAAGTCACTCAGCGAAGTATTTATTGAGAATTCAATGAATTATTCAGCGTGTGAAAGACCAAACGGTTTTCAATTGAGAGAAGATTGATCAAGTAAAGTTAATCAATAAGTTTGTCAGGTTTGTTATCAATCAAGTAAATTTCTGTTAAACGTTATTAGTGTATTAAGCCTACAATAGTTTAAGAGCTTATGTAGAAAGTTTGTTTTTGAACTTAGGTCTACAACTGTAATACAAGTGATAGTAGCCTGTAGCAAACGTTAAGAAATAAGGTACTTTGTTTTCGTTAGATGAATAAGTCAAAAGAGCCCATCCAACGATAGAACACGTTACAATATTGTTGCGTCAGCGAGTCACATGACCACGTGACGCAACGTTTCTAG